CGGATCCAGCGGATCCACCGGATCCGTCCGGAAACGGTGCCGGAGGCCGCTCTGGGCTCCTCTGGGCATCCCCCCCGGGGCCCGTTTTGTGAGGATGTCTCAGGCGAGGGCGCCGGTTTGGGATTCGTCACCGGATCCAGCGGATCCAGCGGATCCGTCCGGAAACGGTGCCGGAGGCCGATCTGGGCTCCTCTGGGCATCCCCCCCGGGGCCCGTTTTGTGAGGATGTCTCAGGCGAGGGCGCCGGTTTGGGATTCGTCACCGGATCCAGCGGATCCAGCGGATCCGTCCGGAAACGGTGCCGGAGGCCGCTCTGGGCTCCTCTGGGCATCCCCCCCCGGGGCCCGTTTTGTGTGGATGTCTCAGGCGAGGGCGCCGGTTTGGGATTCGTCACCGGATCCAGCGGATCCAGCGGATCCAGCGGATCCGTCCGGAAACGGTGCCGGAGGCCGCTCTGGGCTCCTCTGGGCATCCCCCCCGGGCCCCGTTTTGTGAGGATGTCTCAGGCGAGGGCGCCGGTTTGGGATTCGTCACCGGATCCAGCGGATCCAGCGGATCCGTCCGGAAACGGTGCCGGAGGCCGCTTTGGGCTCCTCTGGGCATCCCCCCCGGGGCCCGTTTTGTGAGGATGTCTCAGGCGAGGGCGCCCGTTTGGGATTCGTCACCGGATCCAGCGGATCCAGCGGATCCAGCGGATCCGTCCGGAAACGGTGCCGGAGGCCGCTCTGGGCTCGTGCTCTTCGCGCCGGGGGTGAGGATGACGTGAGTTCCACAGAAACTCCCTCAAATTATGCGCCAGGCGCGCGCGCGTTGGGCCGGAGGGCTTCTGTAGGTTCGTTGAGGCTCGCTTGTGCCGTCAACCTTCTGGTTCTTGGTCCTCCCACCCTCGCGCATCAGGACTCGCTTGCGCACGTGCGTTTCCTTGACAAAGCCGCCGTGCTGGTTTCTAGTTGGCGCCACCAGTGGTTTTTCAGGACTCGCTTGCGCACGTGCGTTTCCTTGACAAAGCCGCCGTGCTGGTTTCTAGTTGGCGCCACCAGTGGTTTTTCACCACCCACCAACCCACCCCAACCCAACCCGAAGGCTCAGATTTACCCTCGATTTCCAGTGGGGGGGGGGTCGGGAAACATCGAAAAAACACATGTGGAACCCTTACCCCCCCCAACCCGAAATTCGGGTCTTCGGGTTAGGTTGGGGTGGTCTGGTAGGTAGTCAAACGTCAGAAGTGAAACGTTTCCCCTTCCTGCCACGGGCGATGCAGTTGGCTGGGCCAGCGGGTGGGCCGATCGGCTCGATTCAGAGGGCACCAGATATTGCCAGGTTCAGCGTTCCTCATCTCTTCGCCTGATGTCTCACCTCGGTAGGGCAGATACAGCGTTGGCGCGCTGAGGTGCCGCGCTCGCTGAAGTAGTCAGGGGTCGGCTTTCGGGAGCGCTTCGCTCACTCACTTCTCCGTTGCCTCATCTCCTTCCTCCTGCTCCCCCGCCGCCTTCTTTCAGACTCCCCGAGAACCATGTAGAACACTTGAGAATCCCGCACAGAGTCAGAAGACACTCCATATTTTTCTACATCCTCCCATTCCAATTCTACCTCCCCGCAGGCTCCCAGAAAACATTCAGAGTTCTCTGGAGGTCCTTGCAGGAGACCCCTCGGAGGCCTCTTGAACCCCCCGCAAGACCCTGCTCCCAGTCCTACTCCTCCTGCTGTTCCTCGGTGTTCGGTGGTCCAAGGTCGGAGCTGCCTTGCTTCCTCCTCATCCTCCTCTTCTTGCTCCTCTCCCTCTTCCTCTTCCTCTTCCTCTGCCTCTTCCTCCCCCTCCTCCTCCTCCTCCTCCTCCTCCTCCTCCTCGCCTACTCTCATCACCCATCCGGTGTCCTCACATCCTCCTCACGCTCCGGCTCCATGGCGACCTTCTCCTCCTCCTCCTTCCCCTCCACCACCACCTCCTCCTCTTTCTCCTGCTCGTCTTCCTCCTCTTCCTCCTCCTTCCCTCCCTTATCCCGGGATCCCCACCGGGAGCTCCCCTGGACCCCTCGTGCTGGGCCACCGCAGCTGCCGCTACCCCCCCAGTTCAGGCGGCGCAGGCGGACGCGGAGGCCCCCACCCGCGGGACGCGGGTGCTGTCGCTGGAGGACAGGCGGCCCAGTCGTGGCACAGCACTTCCTCTTCTTACCACCCCTCATCCTTCCTCGCCTGCTCCTCCTGCCCTTGCTCCTCCCCCCCTCCCTGCTCCTGCTCCTCGCTCCTCGCTCCTCGCTCCTTCTCCTCCTCCTGCTCGCCCTCCTCCTCCTCCTCCTCCTCCTCCTCCTCCTCGCTCCTCCTCGCTTCTCCTCCTCCTCCTCCTCCTCTTCCCGCTCCCTCTCCTCCTCCTCTTCCTCCTCCTCCTCCTCCTCCTCGCTCCTCCTCCCCCTCCCTCCCTCCCTCCCTCCCTCCTGCCCGCCTCTCTGGCTCCGCCTTCCCGACCGAGGAGCTCCCTTAGCCCCCTCGCCCCTCACACCTCGCCCCTCGCTCCGCCGCTCGCTCCCCGCCCGCAGAGGAGCTGGAGGCGGCTCCGCACGGAGTCCCGCCCGCCGTCCCCGACTGCCGCACCCTGCGCCGCCCCTGGCCTCCCTCCCGCCGCGGTCGCCCGTCGTCGACGACGTCTGTTGGCGGCGGCGGCAGCGAGGGCGGCGGCGGCGACCAGCATGATGATGATGATGATGATGCTGCTGCTGCTGCTGATGATGGTGATGATGATGATGATGATGATGATGATGATGATGATGATGATGATGATGATGATGATGGTGATGATGATGCTGATGATGATGATGATGATGATGGTGATGATGATGATGCTGATGATGATGATGATGATGATGATGATGATGATGAGGAGGAGGAGGAGGAGGAGGAGGAGGAGGAGGATCCGCCTCGGAGGCCTGGTCAGAACGCTTTCCGGGACTGGTCCAGGGCTCGGTCTTTGAGGGGGAGGGCGGAGGAGGGCCCTCCCACTGCAGCCCCCCCAGTCTGGCACAGCGGGGCGTGGACGGCGGGGGCCCGCAGCCCCGGCCTGCCTTTGCAGTGCCCCGAGGTAGGCGAGCATGGGGGTCCAAGGTCGGAGCTGCCTTGCTTCCTCCTCATCCTCCTTCTCTTCCTCTTCCTCTTCCTCTTCCTCTGCCTCTCCCTCTCCCTCTCCCTCCTCCTCCTCTTCCTCCTCTTCCTCCTTCTCTTCGTCCTCCTCCCCTTCCTCCTTGACGTTGCTCGGACTTCGTTCTAAAGCACGCAGCGTTCTGAAATGATGCAAAAAAGAGAGGCCGACTTAGGCCAAAAAGACCAACAGCACATTACACCTGGCTAGCGCAGCAGGAACCTAGGAGGGGCAATCAGAAAAAGAAAAGTAAAGAGCCCCGAGGGACACAGAGCATGCGCCAACCAGACGGTTTGAGGGGAGAGAGACCGAGCGTAACCAATGTATCGTACATCGAATGGAGAAGGACGGAATACGCATGCAAGGCGACTAACATGGCGGAAGGCTAGGGCAAAAACTACAGCGCCTGATGCATCTTGGTATCTCAAACCTCAACCCGCCCCATCATACTAAGATTAAGTCGGGCGTGTCCCTCTGCAGGGGAATATTCAAAACTTGTCAAGACAAGTCTGAGGACGACTTTTCGATCATTTGTGGGACTACGTTTGAGTATCTTTTTAGTTTTTATCCCAAAATTCGCCTGTAGCACCTAGTACTGACACTATGTGTGCGTGCCCCCCCCCCCCAGGGGAGACGCGCGCACGGAGAAATCTTATGGTATATGCTTCGTGGCGGGCGCTATCTCTGGCCACGCCGCTCGGGAAGCTACACACTACAAGATGGGTTTACCATATGCTCGGGTCGGACGCGCGCCTCCAAGGAGGACGTATGGGGCATTCGAAAAAGGGCCCTGCCTTCGAGGATAGAAAGAGATTTCATCTCTTCCTCGGTGGAAGGCGGCGGAAGGGCGGCCGAAGGTCGGTGGATGTAAAACGAGGTCGCCTCCGCCGGTGGAAGTGGGCGGAAGCTCGGCGGAAGCCGGCGGAAGCAAGAGTCGACCTCCCAAGAGATGACATTTTTGGGCTCAGGGCTTCCGGAATCGGCCATATAGTATTAGTATGTGTCTGTGCGTCCCGTTTTATTTTCGTCGCTCAGGTGTTACCCATCGGTCGTTGAAAGTAGGTATTTTTGGATTCCCAGATTCCAGATCTATCTTAAGCGCCTTCCTACGTCAATGATCGAGTGGCTTCGCGTTTTCCGTCCTCTTCAGGGGGCGGGCGGAAGCCTAATCTACTTCAACGCCTTCCTACTTCAGATCTCTACCCACCTCTTCCGACCGATGGGGTCAGCACTGGTGTGTTTATGTGCGTCCCATGTGCTTGCGTCGCTCAGGTGCTACATGTTCACCGGGGGCACGCAGCGGACGAAGATTGTGGAGGTGACGCACGCCATGCTGCTCCACGAGAACCGCGCCTACGGCGGGCTCTGGCGCCCGCGCGCGCACCCGGCGGTCGTGCTGGCTCGCCTGGGGGGGGGGGGGTGCTGTCTGATTTCTACTGTTGAGTCGGGCATGCCCATTTCACAGGAGGGATACTCAGGAACAGTAGAAGTAGTCTCGGGACGAGTTGTCGTGCTTTTTTTTTTGCTATTTCTGTTTTTCGTTGTCCGATTCTTTACTGATTGTTCTTCCCAAGCCCGCCTGCTGGAGGACATGCCCGACCTAATTCTGCCGTGTTCCCGCCTCCCCCTCTCTTCCTCGAGGAGGCGCAAATCGTGGCTCAGGGCTCGCGCATCGGCGACGGGTGCCGTTTCCGTGCAAGTTCGGCGTGCTCTGTCGCCAGATCAGGCGGCACTGACGCCATGCTTCGGGGGTAACGGTACGACCCTCGAGTCCGTGTCAGCGCGTGCCAGACTTTTGAGTGCAGCATTTCGCAGGGCGCTCCAGAGCGGGTTTCGCCGTCGAGGGATCGAGGAGTTGGCACCTCTCGCAGGCCTGGAGGTTGACAAGGTTGGCACCAACACCAACATCGGCGGTGTGCCTCCACCGAGGGAAGAAGATACCGATCTCGGTGACGGTGGTAATATTCTGGCTTCCAAGGCAGAAATATTACCACCGACACCGAAATCCAGGATCATCTTCCCCCTGTGGAGGCAAAGCCCTGTGTTGGTGTTGGTGGCCATTTCCAGGCCTCCAAACAAGGCGGAAGGAGGAGGAGGAGGAGGAGGAGGAGGAGGAGGAGGAGGAGGAGGAGGAGGAGGAGGAGGAGGAGGAGGAGGAGGAGGAGGAGGAGGAGCGAGGAGGAGGAGGAGGAGGAGGAGGAGGAGGAGGAGGAGGGAGGAGGAGGAGGAGGAGGAGGAGCAAGGCCTCCCGCCTCGCAGTGGGCACTTCTCGGGCCGGGCCAGCCCCAGAGGGCCCCTGGGCCGAGAACCAGGCTGGAGCGCCCTGTAGGGGCAACGCTAGGGGGGGGGGTAGACTTAGGGGGTGATGCATTGACTCCCAATCGCCAACTGATCGCCGATAGGGGCCTGATGAACCACCCCGTCCAGGCACGTGCGGATCCGCTATTGGGGGCCTATTGCCGATCTACCGGCCACGCATCATCGATTCCAGGTCGATGTCCCCCCCCAGCCAGTCCTCCCCTGACCCCAATCCCGACATCGTTTTTTGTTTTTTTGTTTTTTTGTTTGTTTGTTTGTTTTTACTTTGCACGGTGGATCCCCCAGAGGTCTCGGCTTATTCTCCGGGACCGGCTTTTCATCATGCGTCGTGTTTTGACAGTCCCGGGGCCTGGCGAGGGCCCCCGAACGCCGAAAATAGCGAAAACCTTCCGTCGTGTCCTGTCATGCCCCGATGGGGCTCTGGGATGCAGATCGACGTTGGAGGAGGAGGAGGAGGAGGAGGAGGAGGAGGAGGAGGAGGAGGAGAAGGAGGAGGAGGAGGAGGAGCTGGTCCCCCCCCCCCCCCGAACGTTGCCCCTCAGCCCTCCGTGGAACGATGGCGGCGCCCGGATGCGAGGGCCACACGAGCGTCTATTGGGGCGCCTCGGCGCTGGGCCAGCTGAGCATCGCCCTGGCCTTCGCGGGCACCGTCGTCTGGGCCGAGGCCCGGGGAGCCGGGCAGCAACATTCAGGAGGGGACAAAAAACACACAGGCACAATTCATCGTCGACCCCCAAGAAAATAGGGGACAATATGGGGGAAGCGGTGGGGAAGACAAAAACCCAGAAGATATAAGAAAATATGGGGAATCTTTTTATTTGTGTGTACTCCAGATTTCGTAATAAAGGGAGGGGGGTCTCATTTCGGGGGGGGTCTCTTCCAAGCTATCTTGGAGGGCCTGGGGGGGGGGTCTGGGGACGATGTTTTGGAGGGTTCTCCCACGGGGGAGGTCTGAAATGGCTTGTCTTGGAGGGTCCAGACCCCCTCCCTTTTATTGCGGAATCTGGAGTATTTATTTGTGTGTCCCAGGGCCTCTTCAAACATGAGCACAGACCCTCCGGATCTGCCACCCGCTGCGGACCCTGCCCCTGCGGGTCGTCCAATCGGCGGTGGGGCATCGGACACCCCTGCCGGGGTTCACGTGGAGGGTTTCTCCGAAGGGCTTAGGCGATCCGTTCTCCTCCTTCTCCTCCTCCTCCTCCTCCTCCTCCTCCTTCCTCCTCCTCCTCCTCCTCCTCATCTCCTCCTCCTCCTCTCCATCTCTCCCTCCCCTTCCCCCTCCTCCACCTCCTCCTCCTCCTCCTCCTCCTCGTCTCGGGTCGCCTACGGCCCCGGGGGAAACCGTGCAGGTTCACGTGCCCGTCTTTTATCCACTGTTTTGCCGATCGGCGCGGGCCTTCGCGCACCCCCCCTCCCCCCCCCCTCCCTGGAGTAGATCTTGGCTGTTTCGGGCGCCTGTTTCGAGCAGGTGGAGTCTCCCCCCCCATAGGACGCGCTGTTGCAAACAGTCGCACTAAGCAGAGGTCTGGAGCCAGACCCCCCCCGTCCCCTCCCCTTCCGCCCAATGTCGAAACGCCGGAAAAAAAACGCTCACCACCTGGCTGCAGGCATCCTTCGAATTCTGAGACCCCAGCCGGCGTTTCAGAACTCTGACCTGCAGGGGTAGGGTTCACACGTGTTTGCCTGCTGGAGGCCCGCGCGGATTTCTAGGGTCGGCGCTGGATCCCCCTCCCCGCCCCCCCGCCCTGGCGCGCGAAGCGCGCGGGGGGGGGGCCTGGACCTCCACCTCCTTGCGTTGCGAATATTGGCGTTGCGAGAATTTTTCGCAACGCAAAGATGTGGAGTTCCAGCCGCCCAGTTTTTGGCAGTTTCTGGCAGGAAAGATTGCCACACCTTTGAGAGCCAGGACAAGTCCTGGGCAGTGCCCTGCGTCCGGGGGCCCTCACTGGGCCCCAGGACCGCCAGGAAACGGCTCGGGACGGGGTGCCCGTGGAAGGGGGGCCCCAGACCCCCGACGTGATGCTTTTTTCATTACGTCGACCCCCAGAGGTCCCGACCCTTTCCCCATGACCGGCTTTGCACCCTGAGTCGTTTTGTGACGCTCCCGAGGCCCCGGTGAGGGCCCCTGGAGGCCGAAAGTAGCGAAAAACCTCCCGTCGTGATTTTTCCAATACTCAAGGGGGTCTGGGGCCCAGGCCCCCAGGGGTCCTACGTCGCGAGACAAGAAAAAACACACACACGACGCCCGCGCGCTGGGGAGGCGCCGTCCGCGCGCCCTGCTCCGAGGGGAGCCTGCGCGGCCCTCCGAGAGCGCCCCTCCGGCGCGCCTTCGCTGCGGCCGCGCTCGGCGGCCCGCCGGCCTGCGGGGGCGGTGCCCGCCCCCCCCCCCACACCAAGAGCCTGTTTTTCTTTCAGATCCAGGCGAGCTTACTTGCATGGCGTTCGCCCCCCCCCCCCCCCTCTCCCCCCTCTCCCCCCTCGCCCCTCTTCAATCGTACACGAGCGTGCAAGTGCCTTTCGACTTGCGTGATCTCCGCACGTCGAATTGTTTTCGGCTTGCTTCAGACTCAGCCCCCCCCCCCCCGTCCATGCAAGTAAACTTGCCCGAATCCAGAGAAAAACAGGCACCAACCCAGACCCCCTCGCGCGGTGACGAAATCGCGCCGGGGGGCTTCTCGCGATTTTCGGCCTCCCGGGGTCCTGCCCGGGCTCATATAGGGACCATCAGAACACGACTCAGGGTAAGAACCGGTCCAGGCTTTCGAGGGGCACGTCGTGAAGGAATCACGACGCCCAGACCCCCGACGTCCTGACTTTTTCATGTAGCCGACTCCCAGAAGTGTCCACCTATTCCGCGGGACGGGTTTTTCAGTCTGAGTCGTTCCTTGACGGTCCTGAGCCCGGAAAGGGCCCCCAGATGTTGAAAATAGCGGAAAACCTTCTGTCATGATTTTTCTCATTGCTCGAGGGGATCTGGGCGTCGGGGGGTCTGGGATGAGAGCCTGCGCGCCGCTCCGAGCGCTTTTCGGCCTGCTTTTTCCGCGCTCGGCGGCCCACCGACCTGCGGGCGGTGCCCGCCTCCCCCCCTCCCCCCCCCGAGGAGGAACCCGCGCAGAGCGCCGGGTGCGCGGGGCCCTCCCGCTCCGACGGGGGCGGGAGGGCACCCGCGGCCAACGCCACCCGAGGTTTAAATCGGGCATGTCCCTCTACAGGAGGAATATGCCTGAATGGTTTGTAAGAGTAGTCTGGGCACGATTTTTCTGCTATTTTCTATATTTTGATGATTTGTTCTAACAGCTATGGTTCATTTTTCGTCCCAAATCCGCCTATAGGAGGACATGCCCGACCTAACCCGAGATCATCGTGGGGCACGCCCCAGGATCGGTAGACGTCGAGAAGTCCCTGGCGCGAGGTGTGTTGGTGCCCTCCCACCCCGATGGGGGCGGAAGGTCGCCCACGCCCAACGCCACCCCCGAGGCCACTCGTGGGGCACGCCCCCCGAGGACATCGGCGGACGTGGGTAAGTCCCCGATGTGCTTTCTTTTGGTGGGGGGCGCCCTCACCCCCCCCACGACGAAGGAGGATAGACTTCATAACATAAGCGCACACTTTCGGAGCTCCGCCCAGATCTTCTGGACCTGTGCCAGGCCCCCATAGCGCCGCCTCCGGCGCCGCCCCTGGCGCGCTCCACCAGGGAGGGGGGGCCCAGCGCCGAGCCAACCAAGAAGTCCGCTCGGACCTCCGAAAGCCTATAGAGAGACGGGGGTCAAGGCAAACGGGGGGTCAGCCAGAGCGCCGCATCTTGATGCAGGGCCAGGGGTGCACTGATCCTGAGCTTGGGTGCAGGCTTCTGCAGGATCCTGCAACGCCCGAGGTCTGGATGGACCTGGGTCGGTAGATTGCCGAACTTCTGTTTTTGAAGCTTCAATCTCGTTGAGAGGATCTCATTTACATACCTTCTACTCTTTCGCATTGGAGAGAGAGAGAGAGAGAGAGAGAGAGGTAGAGAGCGAGAGAGACAGGAAGAGAGAACCTTTCTCATCATCTATCGAGCTTATTCTCTGTCTCCTCTTCATCCTCGCCACGAGGTGCTTGAAACCACTGATTTCCTATTGCCTCTCGTGCGTGATCAGAGCCTGTCGCGCACCGCGCAGGTCACCGAGGTGGACGACCTCCGGCGCTGCATCTCCGAGGAGGGGGTCACGGTGCTGGGCGTCGCCGGGGGCTCGGGCGGCGCGCCGCCGCGGCTCCCCTCCCGGACGGCCGCGGGGCCCGCGGGAGGCAGGAGGCGGCAGGGCCAGTCGGCCGCACTCGGCGCCGCGGCGGGCTCGAAGAGCAAAGAGCGGCACAGGTCTGCCCCGAGCTCGCTGGCGCTGCAGTTTTTTGCACCGCGGGGGGGCGTTTTCGCTCCGCTTCGGGCCCCGGGGAGCCTCGCAGATCGATGCGGCTCGAAAAAGGACGGCGGCGGTGACGGCGACGACGTCGACGACGACCGACGACGACGACGACCAACGACGACGACGACGACGACGACGACGACGACGGACGACGACGACGACGACGACGACGACGACGACGACGACGACGACGACGACGACGACGACGACGACGACGACGACGATTTCGCCGCAGAAAGATGGGGTCTGGGGCTCTGGTCGCGATGCTTTTTGCTATGTTGCCATTTTTTTGCAACGTCGGATCTCAGGGTACAGTCGGCCTTGATAAGTGGGTCGGCCCTGCCAAGTCAAGGGTGCCCTCGTGTCCCGTCTTTGCAGGCCCGTGCCCTTGGCACATTCCTGTGGCCAGGCGACCCTCGGAAGGGTCTGGTGTGCTCTCGCGTGTTCTCTCCAATCCAGCCCGCCTGTGGTTTCTCGTGGCTGCTCGGAGGTCCGGGCTCCCCCCCCTGGCGGCGCCTCTGGCGCCGCCTCTGGAGCGCTCCGCGCGCCATGGGGGGGGCCCAGGCCCGATCCAAGAAATCTGCGCGGACCTCCGATACATCATGTTTGTGCAGTTTTTTGTCTGTCTGCTCACCCCGAGACCCAAGGGTGGTGCTCCCGTTTCGACCGCCACCCTCTCCAGCGAAGGGAGGCCCAACCTGGAGCCCCAGGCGGCCCAGCGCACAGGAACGATGTGGTGGCGGAGTGCGCGAAGCGCTAGAAGCGTCAGGGCGGAGAAAACAGAAGGATGGAAGGAGGGAGGAGGCAGGATCTGACGCCGGCATGCGAGCTCCCAGGGGACTCGCAGCGAGAAGAGCTTGCGTGAGCCTGCTGGGTGCTCGGCTGCGCGCTGCAGCGGGCGCTGGCCCACCAGCTGCGGCGCGCGGCTGGGCTGCGCTGAGGCTGCTCCGGGGGATGCGGCCTGGGCCTGCTACCTGCCGCGGGGGCTGCCGCGCGGGAAGGCCTTGCGCTGCCGGGGCGCTGGGCTGCTACAGGCCGCGCTCGGCTCCAGCACCGCGACGGCCTTCGCGTCGCGGCGGCGCACGCGCTGCAGGCGCTGGGCGCCGCGGCGCCGGAGGCCGCCGCCGCGGCCGTGCGCCGCTCGGCGACGCGGGCGCGGCCGTGCGCTACGCCGCCCTGGTTCGCGTGTCGTGAGTGCTGGGCAAAACGTCACTATTGCGGCCCATGGGCTGTCTGACCCCGTCGGGGAATGAAGCCGCTAGCTCGTGGCAGGTTGCCGCTGGTGCTCCAGGCTGCCTATGGCGCTGTCGTGGGGGGGATCGCTCGGCCCACCGCGCGCGAGCGGAGCCGCCTGCTGGGCAGGTTGTCGCCGCAATGTCGGTGCCTCTTCGGTGCCACAGTGCCGCTGCCTTCCGACCCAGCGCTCGCGCTATCTGCCTTGGGGTTGGGCAGCGCGTGCGGTGCGGCGGGGCGTGGGTTGCTGGGCCGTGTTGCTCGGCGCCGCATGGTGTTGTTCGTTGTTGCAGGACGTGCGGCCGGGCTGGTCCACGTGCACGCCCCCGCGTTGGCGGGCGGGTCCGGCGGGCTGGTTGAGTTCGGGGCGGCGGCATCGGATGCGGCGTGGGAAGCGCGGCGGGTGATTTTCCCCACATCCTAAGTGGGGTTCTTGTCTCCTTCTCCTCCTCCTCCTCCTCCTCTTCCTCCTCCTCCTCCTCCCTCTCCCCTCCTCCTCCTTGCTTCCTCCTCCTCCTCATCATCATCATCACCGTCACCATCACTCCCCACTCATCATCATCATCATCATCACCATCATCATCATCATCATCACCGTCATTATCATCATCATCACCATCGTCATCATCATCAGCATCACCATCAGCATCACCATCAGCATCGCACGATCATTCATTATCATCAATATCGCACGATCAACATCATCATCATCATCGTCATCATCATCACTACACGCTGACTCATCACTTCACCATCATCATCATCATCATCACCACCAGTCACCATCAGCATCGTACGAAACTCATCATCATCATCATCACCATCATCATCATCACTCGATCACTCACTGACTCACTCATCATTATCATCATCACTCACTCACTCATCATCATCACTCACTCATCACTTCGTCATCACTCACTCGTCTGTGAGTGAATTGTGAGGAAGTCTCAGGCGGGAGCCCCCTCCCTATGGGTCCCGCACTTCATGTTGGTAATCCGAGCGGGTCATCGGCAACCTGTAACTGTCGTCACTTCTGGGCTCCTCACGCCTGCATTTGGAGGAAGCATCAAGCGGGAGCCTCGTCTGTGAGTGAACTGTGAGGAAGTCTCAGGCGGGAGCCCCCTCCCTATGGTTCCCGCACTTCATGTTGGTAATCCGAACGGGCCATCGGAAGCTTGTAACTGTCGTCATTTTTTGGGTTCTAAGGTTTGAATTTGGAGGAAGTGTCAAGCGGGAGCTTCGTTTATGAGTGATTTGTGAGGAAGTCTCAGGCGGGAACCCCCTCTCAATGGGTCCCGCATCTCATATTGGTAATCCGAGCGGGTCATCGGCAACCTGTAACTGTCGTCATTTTTGGGTTCACCAGGCTTGAATTTGGAGGAAGTATGAAGCGGGAGCCTCGTCTGTGAGTGAATTGTGAGGAAGTCTCAGGCGGGAGCCCCCTTCCGATGGGTGCCGCATTTCATGTTGGTAGTCCGAGCGGGCCATCGGCAACCTGTAACTGTCGTCATTTTTAAGGGTTCACCAGGCTTGAATTTGGAGAAAGTATCAAGCGGGAGCCTCGTCTGTGAGTGAATTGTGAGGAAGTCTCAGGCGGGAGCCCCCTCGCGATGGGTCCCGCACTTCATGTTGGTAATCCGGGCGGGTCATCGGCAACCTGTAACTGTCGTAATTTTTGGGGTTCCCAGGCCTGAATTTGGAGAAAGTATGAAGCGGGAGCCTCGTCTGTGAGTGAATTGTGAGGAAGTCTCAGGCGGGAGCCCCCTCCCTATGGGTCCCGCACTTCATGTTGGTAATCCGAGCGGGTCATCGGCAACTTGTAACTGTCGTCATTTTTTGGGGTTCCCAGGCCTGAACTTGAAGGAAGTATAAATCGGGAGCCTCGTTTGTGAGTGAATTGTGAGGAAATCTCAGGCGGGAGCCCCCTCCCGATGGGTCCCGCACTTCATGTTGGTAATCCGGGCGGGTCATCGGCAACCTGTAATTACTCCCGAGTAGGTGAGGGCAGAACGGCGGGCGAGAGGAGAGTGTCCGTCAGGGCGAGGAAGGAATGGGTAAGGGCAAGCTAAACAGATTATCATGTGGGGTCCTTCTGTCGGAGTAATTCGCAAGTGCATCGCGACAGCGCTTCTGTGGTGAAGCCATGAAGCCACCGGCCTTCAATCCGCTCAAGTCTGGCACTTTCTTAAGACGAGTGTGCGCGGCGCTAGATCGAGAGCCACATTTTGAAAACCACCCGCCCTCAATCCGTGAACGTCTTGCAAATGTTTACGGCGAGTGTGCGTAGCGCCAAGGCGAGAGTTTCATTTTGGAAGCCACCCGCCCTCCATCTGTCCAACTGTTGTAAGTTTGTAAGCTTCAGGCTCACAAGCGGTAAGGAGGTCTCAGGCGAAACGCCCGGCCCGTGACAGGGAAGAGTTATTCTTCAGGGGAAAAAGTTGAGGAGGAGGGCGAGCAGAAAGGCCAGATGCCTTTTGGATGCCTCTCGGGGTCTCGTTGGATGTTTATTGAAAGCTTTTTGGGTTCCTTTTGGGGCGTCTTGGTGATCTCTTGGTGGGCCCAGGGGGCTCTTGGCGCGTCTTGGGTGCCTTAGGGGAGCCTCTCGGGGAGTTCTTGGGAGCCTCTTGGGGGCCTCTTGGGGCCTCCTGGGCGCCGCTTGGGGCCCTCTCGGGGCACTCCTGGAGTTCTCGGGGGTCATCTTGGGGCCATCTTGGAGGAACTCGATCACAGAGAGGCCAAAATGGGCCCCAAACGTAAGTAACATGCATGATTTTTGCCTTCTCGTCCAGGCCGTTCTGGACGCTCCAATGGTTCGCGACGCTCCCCCCCCTCCAGACCCAGAGGGGAGTTGGTAGGGGGAGGCGTCGAAACACCCTCCTATTTAGCAAGCCGTCTAGCTCACTCCCACCAGCCTTCTCAACACATAAGTAACACCCGAGCCTCAGCATGTTCAGCGATCATCTTTGGATGGGCAGCTGATGGGAACCAAAACCGACCCAGTGTGCGCGACGCTGGGGCGGGGTGCGCCACGCGTGCCAGGCGCGCCACGCGCGCCAGGCACCCCTGGGGCCCAAACGCGCCAGGCACGCCTGGTGCGCCAGATGCGCTCCGTGCTCCGCGTGCGCCAGGTGTGCCGCATGCTCCAGCCGCGCCAGGTGCACCACGTTCGGGGCACGTGCAGAGAGTGTCAGGTGCTCATGCGCACGTGACAGCACACATCGGGAAACATGTCGGCCCCCACCATCCTTGTCGAAAACCAATGTTCATCATGGTGTCTGGTGGGCCTGCACGCAGCAGGTCATGCGCCACCACCCCCGCCGTCCCTTTCAAAAACCACTTGGCAGTGATCGCGGGTGGCCGCGCATGATCCAGATTTAGCGGCGAGGTGCATTTTGTATAGTGTTTTGACAAGGGGTGGTGGCCCTGCGCACAGCAGGCAATATGCTGACACCCCTGGCGTCCCTATCAAACAACAATACAAAGTACCCGCGGGCCTGACGAAGATGACTCAAGACTTTGCCCCAAAATGTATTTTGTATGGTTTTCTGACAGGGATGGTGGGTGGGACCCGCATCGGGTTGGTTGCGCAGGCTCCGAATTTGGAGGCAGAGTGTGTATCGTATTGTTTTTTGAAAGGGATGGTTGGGGGGTGGGGAGCATAGGGTCGGCATTGTTCCTGGTCGGCTGCCGGTCGCCTGGGGCAGGGGGTGTATATCGATAGGGAACAATGATCAACCCCTCCCCGAAGGGGAACGGGGAAGATGGAAGATGAAACTCGCTAAGCCACTCACGCCCAGAGGGTTGGTGGGATTCTCCTCTCTCCCCTGACTGTCCGGAAGACGTTCGGCCCTCTCCGCGTGATGTTTTTTCGCATGGTGTCAACGTTCGTTTTTCACTTTTTTTGTTTTGTACAGGCCGGCCTTTCCTGTGCTTCAGCATGGTGCTCAGCGTGGGCCTCGTTTTCGCAGCGGCGCTTCGCTCCCGTCTTCCAGAGTGGTGCTCTCGCTCCAGCGCGTGCCACTTTTCCCGACCTCCCCGCTCCTCCTCTTCCTCCCCAGTCAGCCCCCTGCTCAAAACCCTTCTCCTCCAGTGTGCGCAGCTCCTTTGTCCCGACTGCGCAAAAAACACCATGAGGTCCCCTTTGGAGTTCCAGGTCCGCCATGACACGCGTCGGCGGATAGAGGAACAAGCACAGCGCGATGAGACGAGATCTGTGGGAGGGGTAGGATGTCGGACCTGGCGCGAGCGCATCTGGCTTGAGCCTCTCCTCCTCTCCCCTCCCCTCACCTCCTGTGCCCCTTTCGGCCCTCTCCTCCTCCTCCCCTCCTCCCTCATCCCCGCCGAGGTCCCCGACCACCTTGACCTCTTGGCCCCGCAGGTGCCGGCGACGGACCTCCCCTCCGTCGAGGTGAGGCGCGGAGGAGAAGCCGCCCTTAACTCCGGCTGCACGTATACGAGCGACCCTTCGCCAGAGTGACCTTTGTTGCGCGGCGTTCGGCTGTCCCGGGGGGGGGGCCTCCTCCTCCTCCTCCTCCTCTCCTCCCCTCTCTCCTCCTCCCCTCCTCCCTTCCTCCTCACTCCTCCCTCCTCCCCCGTTCTCTCCCCCCCCCCCTCCTCACACTGCAAGGGCCCTCGCGCGGGGGGTGGGTGGGCGAACCCAAGCGCGCGGGCCGCCACGGTCGCAGCGACTGCCAACCCGTGCACCAAAGCGGACTGTGTCCCAGGGCCAGGCTTGCGCGTTCCCCTTCCACCCCCCCAGGGGTTGCAGAGGAGGTGGAGGTGCCTCGCGGGTCTGCGTGACGTAATGCGCCACGAAGGGCAGCAGCCTCTGCCCACTCACCCACCCGTGCCTTCCCAGCCACAGCGCCAAGGCGTCCCGGGAAGGCATCGATCTTGCGGCGGGGGGCAAGGGCAGATGTCACCAGTCCACCCATCGCCCTCGTCGAAAGTCGGCTTGGCGCCTTCTCGTGCTGTCGTGGCCCTGATCTTCGATGTATTGACTTATTTAATCGCTTCGCTCATGCCGCCGGCCCTGGAGCCATCTTTAGGGCCTCTTGGGGGCCTCTTGGGGACCTCTTGGGAGTCTCTTGGGGCTCCTTGGCGGCGTTTTGGAGGCCCCCAGGGCCTCTTGGGGGGCTCTTGGGGGTAGTCGATTGCGGCTCCCCCCTCGGAGGCCACGATCCTCGTGAGGGGTGTCGAAAAATACCCTCCCCTGGAGTGGTCTGGTGGCTTCTCCCGGGCTTCTCTCGGGACCTTGCCGGGGTACTTTTCGTCCGGGGGCCCCCAGGGGCCGCTCCGCGCGCGCGAACTAGAAATATTGTTAACAAGTTACCGGAGATCTTAGCACGCCTCTGGCCCGTTGGGCCGGCGAATTCAGTGCGAGGTCCCTGGAAGCGCCGACCCTTTCCCCAGGGCCGGTTTTTCATCCCGGGTCGTTTCCAGACGGCCCCGGGGCCCGGCGAGGGCCTCTGGAGGCCGAACACGGCTGCAAACCTTCCGTCGTGCTCTGGTCTCGGAGCCGCTGTGGTCTCGGAGCCTGCCCCCGCCTCCATGCAACCCCCCCCCACGCCGCCGACGACACAGGGGATGGGGGGCAGGGAGACGACGACGAGGGATTGCAAAAAAACGAAGGATTGCAAAAAAACGAAGGATTGCAACAAAAACCCTCGGATTGCAAAAAACCCTTGCAATCCTTCGTTTTTGCAATCCTTCGTTCAAGTGAGGGCGGGGGGGCACGATTTGTTGCCCCTCCCGGCGGCAGAAGCAGCAGTCATCCAATACAGGGAAGCCAGAGCCAGGGGGACGACGACGAACCACGAAAATAAAGAGGTCCGAGCTCTAGCACACAACTGTGCAAAGAGAGTAATCCTCCTGTAGAGGGACTCGACACGTCGTCGACGAAATCCGAATCTACCTTCGCCGATCAACGATTCAGAGAACTCGATGGGCGGTGGGGGCAGCGTTTGGAGCTCGTAGAAGGCGTGGCGAAATGGCGGAGTCGAAGACGTGGCGAAATCCGAAATCGATGGTTGGTGGGGGTAAGGTTCGCATGTCGCCACCTACCCTCAGATCCGACGTTGCCAACAACATCTAACATCGCGGAAAATCACGGCCGCCGCCCCCGATCCTGATTTCTGCGCCATGTTTCGAACCGACTCGATCTGTGAGGGTCCCAGGGCCCGAAACTGGGCTTTAAACCGCCCGTCGTGAAAACAAAATTGCGGCGCCCGGATCTGAGGGCCCGACCCCCTGTCGGGGGGCGCGCAGTGGGGGGGCGATCTGGGGGGGGCGGCGAGGGCTGCAGAAAGGGGCCCTTAAAGGGGGCCCTTAAAGGGGGCCCTTAAAGGGGGCCTGTAGGGCCCGAAGAGGGCACCTTTCTCCCTCCGCCATGCATCGCCCCCCCAGTACAGTGGAGACCCATGCCAAGAAACATCCATGCATCGCCCCCAATACAGTGGAGACCCTGCTTGCCTCCAGGGTGCCCTGGGTTTCTTGGGTTTCGATGGTTTTGCTAACTGGAAAGCGTGACGCTCCCACACCAAACATTCGCGGATGTCCTGGGGTCTCAGGGTTGGGTTTCTTGTGGAAGGTCCCCCACTGTGAGCGACACCCAGCTCCCAGATTCCCGACGTCATGTTTTTTCATGACGTCGACCCCCAGAGGTTTCGACCTATTCCCCGGGACCGGTTTTTCCATCCCGAGTCGTTTTCTGATGGTCTTGAGGCCCGTGGGGGCCCCCAGAGGCCGAACATAGCGAAACCCCTCACGTCGTGATTTTGTCCTTGCTCGAGGGGGCCTGGGCCTGGGCGTGTTCGGGGGGGCGCTGGCCCGCCGACCCCCAGCTGCGTTGGCGCCCGCGGTGGAGCGCTCGTGGCCCTGAGGGGCCTTTCACCGTGTGAGCTGTCCAGTGAGCAGCCCTCCTCCTGCTCCTCCTCCTCCTCCTCCTACTGCCCCTCCTCCTCCTCCTCCTCCTCCTCCTCCTCCTCCTCCTCCTCCTCACCGCCCCTCCTCACCGCCGCCGCCCACCGCGCAGGTCGTGTTCACCTGGGGCGAGCGCCTCCCGCGACGCCTCGCGGAGCGGTGGCGCGGGCACCCGCGGGCCGTGGTCCGCGAGCTGCTCAGCGCCCCGGGGGGGGGCCCTCTCGGGGGAGGAACAAAAATACGGATACGTGTTGTCCCCCGTCGTTTTCGGCCTTTCCTGATCCTCCTAGGGAATCCTCGTTGTCACCGCGGGATTCGCCTCGAAATTCTGGTCAGAACGCACCCCAAGAGAGGCCCGGGGACAACACGTATCCGTATCTTTCCGCCCCCCAGCCCTCGGGCGGCCGCGCGGCCGAGCCTCGCGGCCGCCATCGCTGCGACCTGCAGCCCCAGCCTCCGGGCCTCCCCAGGTGGGGTCGGGGCAGGTGGGGGTCGGAGGAGCGCGCCGCACCGCCCATGCATCGGCGGTGCGGCTCGATGCGGGGACCGGGTTTCCCCACGCCGACGTCGCCGATGCACCGCCGACGTCGCCGATGCGTCGCCGATGCGTCGCCGATGCATCGCCGATGCATCGCCGATGCATCGGCGACGTGACGCGATCCTCCGACCCAATCTACTCGGACCCCATCTGGGAGGCCTCTGCAGACCCCCTCGAGTCACGACAGAAATCACGACGGAAGGTTTTGGTCGCTGTTTTCCGCCTCTGGGGGCCCCGGGGCCGTCCTAAAACGACTCGGGAGGAGAAACCGTTCCCGTGGGTCGAGACTTCTGGGGGTCGACGTCATGAATAACTTATCCTGGCGAAGGGGGGGGGGTGGGGGGGGGGGTGGGGGGTGGAAAAGGACCAACCATACTGAAGTTGTGGGTACCGCAAATTGTGAATAGTCTTATTCGGTGGAATCTCCTTAAGGGGCCTACGAAGCGCTGCGTGGGAGGGGGGGGGGAACGCATGCGGGCGGTAGCACTGGGGCCGTCGGTGAAGCTCCCTATGAGCCTATGAGGCCACGAAACGCTGCACTGGGTGGGTGAAAATACCAAATTAGACGTGTGGGGACGCATGCGGGCGGTCCCACTGGGGGCTTCGGTGGAGCTCTCCATGGGGCCGCGAAGCGTTGTAAAGGGTGGGTGAGAATGCCAAATTGGGTGTGGGGGACGCATGCGGGCGGCCCCACTGGGGGCTTCGGTGGAGCTCCCTATGGGGCCACGAAGCGCTGTACTGGGTCTGTGAAAATGCCAAGTTGGTTGTGGGGGACGCATGCGGGCGGTTCCACTGGAGGCTTCGGTGGAGCTCCCTGTGGGGGACGCATGCGGACGGTCCCACTGGGGGCTTCGGTGTAGCTCCCTATGGGGTCACGAAGCGCTGTACTGGGCGGGTGAAAATGCCAAAATGGGCGTGGGGGACGTATGCGGGCGGTCCCATTGGGGGCTTCGGTGGGGCTCCCTATGGGGCCACGAAGCGCTGTGCTGTGTGGGTGAAAATGCCAAATTGGGTGTGGGGGACGCATGCGGGCGGTCCCACTGGGGGCTTCGGTGGAGCTCCCTATGGGGCCACGAAACGCTGTACTGATGGGGCGAACATGCCAAATTTGTGTGGGGGAACGCAATGCGGCGTCCCACATGGGGCTTCGGTGGCGCTTCCCAATTGGCCAACTAAAACGCTGAACTGGTGGGTGAAACGCCAAATTGGATTGTGGGGGGGGCAGCGTGTGGGCGGTGCCACTGGGACCCTTCATAGGGGCTCCCCAATGGGGTCACAAGCGTTGTACTGGTTGGGTAAAATGCCCAATTAGGGCGTGGGGGACGCAATGGCGGGCGGTCCAACATGGGGGATTCGGTGGGGTTCCCTATGAGGCCACTAAGCGCTGTACAGGCCGGTGAAAAGCCAATTGGGTGTGGGGGGCGCATGCAGGCGGGTCCCAATGGGAGGCTTTCGGGGGGGCCTTTATGGGGCCACGTAGCGTTGTGCTGGGTGGGTGGCAATGCCAAGTTGGGCGCGGGGGACGCATGCGGGCGGTCCCACTGGGGGCTTCGGTGGGGCTCTCGATTGGGCCACGAAACGCTGTACTGGGTGGGTGAAACTGCCAAATTGGATGTGGGGGACGCATGTGGGCGGTGCCATTGGGAGCTTCGGTGGGGCTCCCTTTGAAGTCACGAAGTGCTGTACTGGGTGCGTGAAAATGCCAACTTGGGCGTGGGGGGGGCGCATGCGGGCGGTGTCCCCCACTGGGGGCTTCGGTGGAAAGCTCCTTAAGGGGCCACAAAGCGCTGTATACTGGGGTGGGTGCAAAATGCCAAATTGGGTGAGGGGACGCAAAACAGCGGGCGTCCCACTGGGGGCTTCGTGGAGCTTACCTAATGGGACCACGAAGCCTGCCTGGGTGGGCGAAACTCATGGAAGAAGGAGGAGGGAGGGAGGAGGAGTAGGGAGGAGGGGAGGAAGAGGAAGGAAGGAGGAGGAGGAGGAGGAGGGAGGAGGAGGGAAGGACTGAGGAGGAGGAGGAGGTAGGAGGAGAGGGAGGAGGAGAGGAGGAACGCGGGGCGACGTCTCTTCAAAACGAGGACCCAACACCACAGGATGGTTGGGAACAAAACAGAGTCAACGTTTTTCTCGTCAACATGGACTTTCTTGTCGTCGACGCTGCGATAAGTGTAGGTGGAATGGGGCGCGGCGCACATCGCGCGCGGACGCCTGGCCAACCCTACGCGGGCCCCCCCGTCCTACCTGCCCAAAAACACAGCAACCTCGACGCTTTTCTTGCCAACATATACTTTCTCCGAGTCGGCGCTGCGAATCGCGTAGCGGGAATGGGACGCCCCGCGAATTCCCAAGAGGCATCCTCCTCTTCCTCTTCAGTTTCTCCCTCCCTCCCTCTTTCGCTCCCCTCCTCCTCCTCCTCATCATCATCATCCTCCTCCTCCTCCTCCTTCTCTTCCTCCTCCTCCTCCTCCTCCCTCCACCTCCTCCTCCCGCTCCTCCGCCTCCCATCCTCCTCCTCCTCCTCCTCCTCCTCCTCCTCCTCCTCCTCCTCCTCCTCCTCCTCCTCCTCCTCCTCCTCCTCCTCATCCTCCTCCTCCTCCTCCATGCGCGGCAGGAACGAAACGATTGGCGGTGCAACACGCGTGGCTGGAATGAGACGCGGCGTACATCGCGCACTGGACATGTTGTCGCCGACGGTGCAACACAAGAGGCCGGAGCGGGGCGCGGCGTACATCGCGCGCGGTCTTGTTACCTAACAGCTCTTGCTGATAGGTTTCTAATGGTCTCAAAAGAGAGAGCATCATGACTCCTCAGGGGGGTCTGGGCGGGACCCGGGGAGGCTGCCGGCGCTCTGCCGCCGCCACCCAAATCGCCTTAGACATCCTTGCAAAATCGCTCTTGGCGCTCCCAGAACTCAATTCCCGGGCCACATTTTGAATGCCCGGAGCCAACTGTAGGCCAATTCGTGCTCTTCGAGTTCCCAGAACTCTATTCCCGGGCCACATTT